GGGGGGGGGGGCATGCTGTACTTCATCCTGAAGGAGGCAGAGTGCCAGAACGTTGATCTTAATTAGTTTCCCCGTTCTTTCTTTAGCCCTCTAGCACCACCATGAGGTTTGACATTTGTGGTTTTAAGTGAAATATTTTCAAAACTGTTGGATAGATTACCTTGAAACATGATAACGATGTTTTTGTGTCCCTCGGGATGGATTGCAAAAACGTACTGATCCATTAACTTTTCCCTGTAGCGCCATCATCAAGTCCAAACTTTAAATTTGTCCAAGATCTACGTTTATGACCAAATACCTGCGAAACCAATGACATCCCCATCATCCTCAGTTGTAGTTAGAGGTTATCGTTAAAGGCAAATGTTAGCATGCCAACATGCTAAAGTAAGATGCGTTATCATTTAGCTCAAAGTACCACTGTGCAGAAGCACAGTCTCACAGAGCTGATTAATCATTAATATAAATAATTGATGGTTGCTGCCCCACAGGGTAACATAAAAGCTGCTGGCACAGCTGATTGACGCATTTTTTTTACGGATGGTTTTTAAGTTGTACAATATATACAATTTTATAATCACAGTCCGCTCTCAGGGTTTAGAAGCAAGTCCACATTTTCCAAGAAGACGTGACCTTGATCTCACGGCTCGACATGAGACGTGGGAAAAAGGCGACGTATGGAAAATGTACCAAAGTCGCTTCTGGTTTCCATGACGGTAGGGGCCCCGCTGTGCAGGTTGGCCCCCTTCTGCCATTGGGCGTGTCCACGTCTCCGTGGGCGTAGAGGCAGTTGGCACCGGGGCCGGCAGCGTCGCAGCCGGAGAACAGTCTGTCTCTCTGATCGCGGCCCACCTCGCCCTCAGCGGCACAATCACACTGTTATGCCTGAGCCCTCCTTGGCCATGACAACATCACATGATAGCACAGGGGGAGTGGGACGCTTCATGTCGTGTGTGTGTGTGTGTGTGTGTGTGTGTGTGTGTCTGCTTGTAAACAGCATTGCTCAATCCATGTTATCGCCTTAAAAAAAACTGGTTATGCATGTCGTCGATCAAGTGGAGCTGATAACGCGTCTTTTTATTTTTTTATTATTTAGAAAGGTCACAACGAGAACGCTGGACAGAAGGGAGCAGGGAGGATTGTTGTGGTTAAAGGAGGAAGAGCGCACATTAAGCAAGTCAATGATGGAGAACACTGAAAACAAACTTCAGAGCAGCAGCTTTTCTCATGATGAATTAATTCCAGCATTGCTTCAGGGTCAGGGCACCATTAAAAAAAAATCCAAACCATCTCAGCTCTTAATTAGACTACTTTTACAACCACTGATCCAGTTTAAGTCCCAGTGTTTAACCAGATCT